GTTGCATTCCACTCCTCAGCAGCTGGTCGAGTGTGAGGCAGCCTTTAAAACAACACAACTCAGTGACCTAAACAGTCGGTCACCGAAATCAGAGGCTTTTTAACAGCAGTAGTGCTTAATTCATGTCTCCAGGTACAATAAAGCTACTTTGAGCTTCTTCCTTGCTCACAAGTTGTTACCACAGCAGGTAACCCCCTATATTTGATTACTTACTTTTATATCGGATGCCCTTCCTGACACAACCTCAAAGGGGTTTGTGTCTCCTCCTGTTCTCAAACCATTGGCTTTTCATGCATTAGACAAATGTGCAAACTGCTGCCCTGATTTATAAATGTGTATGGGTGACATACAGATGTGTTAAAGGCTTTCATAGTGGATCTAATCACTGTCTTGCGGCAGATTGCCCCCCTCTGAGCCTGGTTCTGCTGGTGGTTTCTTCCTGTTAAAAGTAGGCTTTTCCTTCCCACTTTTGCTAAGTGCTTGTTCAAAAGTGGTCCTTTGATCACTGGGTTTTCTCTGTATTATACTTTACAATAAAAAGCTCCTGTTGTTGTGATTTGGCACTATATAATTAAAACTGAATTTCATTGAATTGATTCAAACGCTACACAGCGTTCACATGACATTATTACCTAAATCTGTGAATCTGAATCTGATTTCATCGACAGCCACTTAACTATTTGACTGATTGCTCCCGACTGTTGATTGAGTCCATCTCTTTAGTTTAAGGCTTGAAATATGGTAATTGTGAGGCGCATGTATGTAATACTAACATGATTTCTTATTCATAAAATCAGTGCAACTCCTGCATTTCTGCTCTGATGTTATCCTTCCTGTTTAAATTAACAGCCTAATCACTAAATGGCAAAGGGGCTAATATGTGACGCAGAGCCCAACAACATAATGGTTTCCTTTTGATTTCTCTAACAAAATGCTTTAGCACCCTCTGTTGGAGAAAAAATGACATAACCAAACATACAGCTTGACCTTCACTTTTCTTCACTCATCCTATTAATCTAATCTGGTAACACTCAGTATTGCCCTGTGCCTTTATTAATTATGGTCAACTGCTTAATTACAGCAGTCCTCGCATTTGTGCCATATCGCATATATGTAGGGCTGAGTAAACTCTGCAGTCCTTCATGTGTGCATGCTTCCACCGATTCTGTGTCACAGTATATTTCCACAGCTCGGTATTTGTCACAGATGCACTTCATGAGATAGAACAGGCATATTCCTCTTTAATGTCCTTTGCTTCCTTCTTCATTTTCTTCATTGCCTTAAAAAAAAACCTTTAAGAGTAAAGGACTAAGTGCTTTAGCGTATATAGGAATATGGCAGCTTTCCAGGCATCCTGTGTGTGTGTGTGTGTGTGTGTGTGTGTGTGTGTGTGTGTGTGTGTGTGTGTGTAGTCTGTGACTGCTCAGTGTTATTTAGACTAAAGGGACAGATCTTATAAAAAAAATCTATTCAATTAAACTAAAAAAAAAAAAAAAAAAAGCTCTCTTGTGGGATTCACTTTAGCCCAGGAACTTCCTGCTGCTGTTCTTAGCTCACATGCCACTTTGAACACATGGGAAATTTAGAACAGGAAATGATGTAATCCAGGGGACTTTGGGGTCCTTGGGACCCAGTACGAGGCAGACATAACACAGATAAAAGGCTGCCAGAAAAGTCAGGGTTACTGGTGTGGGATGAAAAGCAGGAAATGAAAGGTAGAGAAAAGAAAGTTTCATTAAAAAAAGCTGTGAGGAGATTCGGGTGTTTGAATTATATGCGTTACGTCAGATTGCTGGCACCCTTGTTATGTAAGAAATTAAATTACAGCCTCTTTGTCCCACACATGAACGCCATAACTCACAGACCAACCCACAGTCGAGCGCACTCGTACACATACCATCTGTCTGGCTGTTGTTGGCTTTCTGCCTGTTGTCGTATATTCTCCTCAGCACCAGTGCAGTGAGATATGCTGAAAGACAGCATGGCGGGCAGCTCGGATTAGCTCCGTCTGACTGCGTGCACTGGGGTGTTTTGTGGCCTGCTAATAATATGTTTGTGTACTAATTAATCTCTTGATTAAATTCTGCACAGATGAATGGCAGTGCTTTGTTCCTGTGCTGAGAGCAGCTTTGCCGTTGCCAATTACACATGCACAAACATAGCAATGATTATGCCATTGTGTGTGTGTTTGTATTCTAGGCTTTTCAACTTTTTTCTTTTGACATTGGCTGCTTTTTCACTCATTTTCAGTCCAGTGTTTGTACTTGACCATTTTCAGAGGTACATTTTTTTTTTATTAACTTGTGAGTCATTCAAGCATAAAAAGACACCTAACTCAAGGAACGAGCCAGCGTTGTGTCTACACATAACAGAAAACTTAGCAAAGAACCCATTTTAAATGTTATGCTTAAGCACCTTGTTACTAGCATCCTGTCAGAAAAACACAGAAGTTCTTCTCACTTCTTTAGTTAAAGCAAAGACCTGATACAGGACCTGTGAGATGCATCTGACCCTTCATTTGATCCATCTACTGTTACTGAAACCTCATCAGAAATGATCTCAGTGGAAGGCTGGCTGTCAAGAAACCATACTTAAAGAAGATCGTCAAGCTAGATGACCATCCTCACATTCAAAACCTGAAATCTCTTTGTGGTGCATATTTTTTAACCTGTGCATGCACGCATTTTAGTGTTTAAAATCTCAACATACACTAAGCAGACAGCTGGTGTGGTATGGCTTCCTCCTTGTGGTGTTCCCACAGGGTCCATCTCAGCTGCCACTCCCCACCCCAGCTGTCTGTCTCACCCTTGTTGCATTCTCTGACTCACTGGAGGCAACATCTGGACTCTTCTAAATGTCTTGTGTGTCTAATGCATGTGTGTTCGTACACATTTGTTGCTCGGATGTGTAGGCTTGTGCTATAAACCCAGAGACGGAAGGTTCGAGCGTCCTTGCTAACCAGCCAGTAGGTCCAGCTGACATGTGAAGTTGGCATCCACCACTTGTCAGGCTGCGACCTCGGGGTCTGGCTGATGCAAACGTCAACTGAAATGATTTCTTCATGGAATTCATGGGGCAACATCACTTCTGGTAATGACAATCATGGTGTGACGCGAAGATGTGCAATTGACAGGAACAAGGATGAGTAAATTTAATGGAAGAAGCAAACGGGGCGGCTACATCCTTTGTTGAGAGAAGGATTCAGAGGAGGATGTGGTAGGAAAGGTTGATAAGAAGAAGGATGTAGAAAGAGCGCAGTGAGGGCAAAAGTAAGTAAATAAGTTTAAATGAGCACATAAAAATCTGAGGAATTAGTAAGAAATTAAAGCATGACAAGAAGAGAAGAGTTCAATTCAGCCTAAAGCAGAAAGTCTGTAAAAGTAGAGAGATGTTGTATGTAGATCCTAACTAATATGAAAGTGCGAGAGAGGAGGTTGAGGAGAAAATTAGAGGGAAGAGAAAACCTGCATGGGGCAGGCTGGAAGAGGGAGGCAGAGTTGTAAACACACGGGTTGGAAAGGCAGCGGGGAAGAAAGCGCAGAATCAATGCCACTTGACGGAAAGCTGCATAGCAGCGACTGGACGTGCCACGGGATGGAGAGGAAACGTCAGTCTGAGCAAAGGACAAAGGCATAGAAGCATGTCATCACCTACACCATGAGAGCTCCCAGTAAGTTTTCACGTTTCTCCTGAAAGCCTCTCGCCCGTGAAGTGCTTCTCTCTGGGATCTCTCGGTCTCTGCAGTCTATTTTCAGAGAACTGGAAATATTTTTACCCCGAGCGCTGCTTCATATGTGACTTAGAGAGAGGAGTTATGCTGAGAATGTTGGAAGAGGGTTGTAATTGCTGGATTGTGGTAATGGGATCATTTCCTCTGGCCATTCTCATCTCTGAGGGTGAAGTCTGACATTTGTTTTATTTCCCTGCTGAACTTTGTCCTCTGTGTTTCTGCGGTGACTTTCTCAGGCAGTGCCAGCACCTCTGTGAGAGTGAATGAGACACGTGAGAGTGAATGAGTGTGGCTTTGACAGAGAGATCAGATAAGAGCCATGAAAGTAAAATGATGAAGTTACAGTTGCTCTTATTTGACCTTTAATACTTATCATTTAACATTTCATTTTTTTCACATGTAAATTCCTTCCCATTCTTTTCACTTCCTTATTATTTATGATTTTTGTATTTTTCTAGCATGTCTCAGTGTGCATTTTAAGTCATATTGCAACACATGATTGCTGTCACCAGATTATTAAGATGTCTTTGTCAGCACAAAGAGGCGCTGCAGAGCGGTTTAATAAGTGTCTGCTCATAAAGTGAGCGTACTGTACACACACATACCCACACACTTGTGCATTTCAGGGCTGCCAGTTTAGAGGTGTGTGCAGTACATAGGCTTGTGGAAAAAAGTAGTAAAACAAATGCCTGTAAAATGTCTCAAGGTGTTGGCGGCACCGTGCTGACCTGTTTTATTCTTTATACATTTATACTTTCAATTCTGAAGGCTGGTGTATCTATATCTGTAGTACAGATGTAATGTTAGACAATGTACGCTGCTTCCTTTGTCCACTCAAGATAATGTGCATCCTTCTCTGGCAGATTTCCAGCTTTTCCAGTCTCATCATTCCTCTTAATTCCCAGAGGGAAGTCTCGTTTTCTGAGATGTTCCTCCTCTGTTTCCGTAACACGCTCAGAGATGGATCATGGAAAATGAGTCATTGCGAGTCTGTCTTTAATTTGATTTATCATGTTTTTCAATTTATTAATTAAGACTTTCAAAATGTTGACCTTGTTCGGCTGCGATTCTCAGAAAGGAAATCATTTGGGGACTTTCCTCCATAAAATTTGGTTGTGGTGATATATAATGCAAACTAGAAGCTGTAAATTTGTAAAAATACATCGTACTAAAAATATAGTTGAACAGTAGAGATCCTACATGATAAAATAAACATACATATGTTGATGTTTGCTCTCAACATGCCTCTACTGCTTTCTTTGCTTTTCAGAGATTGAGGCTAAGGAGGCTTGCGACTGGCTTCGAGCAGCGGGATTTCCACAGTACGCTCAGCTGTATGAAGGTATCACGCACACAGAGGAGCCAAAGTCCAGCTTTTACCCAGCTGACTTGTTTCACACAAGGACCTCCTCTTTCAAATCTCTCCTTTTGTTTATTCTCTGCGTTCTGTGTTCTTTCTCTGTTTTATTTTTCCACCATCTGTGCTTCTCTCTCTCTTTCTGCCATCTCTCCATCCTTGTATCCTCGTCTTCTGGGCCACTGCGTTCTATTTCCAGGCTTCAGTTCCTGTCTGGAGGGAGGGGTCATGGGAAAGGCCTTGTTATCACTGCTGGGACTCTCATAGCTTCTACTTCTGTCTTCTTTCTCCCACCTTTCTCCTTGTGCCCTTCCTCACCCACCACTTTTCTTATAGTCATCTACCCATCAAAGGAATTCTTTCTTTCTTTCTTTCTTTCTTTCTTTCTTTCTTTCTTTCTTTCTTTCTTTCTTTCTTTCTTTCTTTCTCAATAGCAATTATTCATGTGATGATCATTGGATTTTTTATAAACATAAACAGGAAATGGCCTAATCTAAGAAGTTGCTCTTAAAGCACAACAGTCCATCTTTAGCAACACGCACACACACACACACACACACACACACACACACACACACACACACACGCACACACACAGCTTCTCTGAGAAATCTTCAGAGCTTCAGTAATGTTGGGTTGTGGATGCCGGGCTCTGGGACTCTGTGGCTGCTCCCCAGGCAAACATGAAGCCTGCAGTCTGCAACCACACGCTGAGAATCACCAAAATAAAAAAAAGCTTGAGTCATTTTAGCATTGGCGCTCTGTGGGATTTGAGCTATTTTGGGATTTGAAAGCGTGTGCGTATGTGTGTGCATTCAGAGAACTTGAGATGCAGATGAGGAGTGTTAACAGTGGTGGCAGCAGACTTCTTTAACAGTTAACTCAAAGAGGAATATGCAGACTCATGTTATCTGTTAGTCATTAACTAAAAAACTAATTTTCTCTGTCTCTTTCATCCAGATTCCCAGTTTCCGCTTGACATTTCGTCTGTTAAAAGGGACCACGACTTTTTGGACCGGGATCTGGTGGAGCCTCTTTGTCGGTAAGGACGCCGGCACGTCGACGCGTTTCAGTGTTTACACTAATGCCTCCACCCGTACACACTTAAGACCAGAAAAATTCTAGCTTCCTTTTCCTGCTCAGTTCTCTGGCTTGTCCTGCGGCCTCATGCTAACTGCTACTCATTAGATGTCTGACCCCCCTCTCCTTAATGAACTCCCCTTCCACGTCTCCCACCCATATACTTTGAAGCTTTGATCTGGTCACCTCCCCTCCCCTCTGTCGAACTCTGATCTCCCATTCAAAGAGGAGAGACCCTCGGGGGGAAAAGCAGGGGGCGAGGAATGGGTGAGAGTAGTGGGGAAGGAGTGAAGGGATGCCAGTACTTCCCAACACTTCCCAACTTTGTGGTGTTTCTTTCCACATGTATTTGATTTTTCCTCTTCAGATCTCCTGTTTTCATTTTACTAAAGCTTTACATGGTTGCAACAGCTTATCCTGCTCCTTATCTGCTTCTTTTCTCTCTCCTGCTTACCCCCCATCTCCCCAGTGTCTATGGCAGAGGAGGGTGTGGTAATTAAAACGTTAGTGACTCCTGACAGCTATACCGTGAGAGAACACACATCAGATCCCCTGAAAGTGTCTCAAGAGCTATAAAACATGCTCATAATGTGTTGTTTAAATGTTAAATTATATGGTCATTTTCGCTATGACACAAGTTGTGCAGAGCAATTCTTGTCTGGCCATTTGTATGAGAGGACAGAGAGGTTTACAGTGAACGAAGGAGGATTTCCTACTGTGTTGTTAGAGGGCTGAAATCCTTTCAAATGACAGAGGTCATGAGCCCTGAAACGTGTTTTTAACAATCCCGTCTTAAAGGCACGGACACAGACACCACCCCGCTAAAGAGCCACTCATCACATCCTAAATGAAGGTGGAGACAGTGGAAGCTTTCCTCAGGGTGAAGGGAGAAAAGTGAAGGGGAGGAGCTGGCCGTGTTCGGGACTGAGAATCAATTTCAGGGGTGTGATGCCAGCAGAGAAAAGTAGAAGAAGAGAAGGAGAACATCAGCGTGGAACATGTGTGTAGACAGACTACAATGAAGATAGTGTCTGAGAAGAAGTTTAAAGCAGGCAGTGAAGAAGCATATCTGAAAGTGGACCCAGCAGGGATGTGAGAAGGTGGTAGTGAAAAGCGAGAAAAGAGACTGAAAGGGAGCGGCGTCAGAGTGCAGATGGATAGAGACACACAACAGACAAATCGCATCCAGAAGAGCAGCTTTAGATGCAGCATTTGACTGTGCGCTTGTCTGTTGCAGGCGTCTGAATACTCTGAACAAGTGCGCCTCCATGAAACTGGACGTCAGTCAACCCAAGAAGAAAGTAAGTCAAAAATTTTGCCAATGAATTACAAGAACAGAGGTTTTTGCAGCTTGATTGTTGTTCCTCAATTACTATACACAGCTACAGTACTTGCTTGCCTGAAAATTATGGTGTGGTGTACTGTCAGTCACTGTGATGAAATGCATTTTGATTCATACTGTAAAATTGTTAGCTTGTTCAACAATGGATCCCAAATCTTTCAATAAATTTAAGCTATTTTTATTTTCTAGTATCCTAAACTTAAAACAGTAGAAGCTCATACTTCCTTTTTCCTTCCACAGGGTGATGACTCCGATGAAGATGATCCATTGGCTATCAGTAAAAGGTGGACGTTCGAGTGGAGCAGCCGACGCTGGTCTCGCCTACAAGACTTCCTGTCTGACAGCACCAATGAAAGCAGCCCGACAGGTCAGGGGGAGGGTCTGCACAGCACAGTGAGCAGCGAGAGCGTGCTGACAGACCTGAGTGAGCAGGAGATCACGGAAATCTCCTCGCTACACAGTGAGGACTCCGCCTCTGCCATGCCCGACTCCATATCGATGGCCTCCCTCTCTGCTTCCTATCAACCGCCACGGGAGCTCCCACACTATAACTCCCTGCCGATCAAAAGCAGCCGCCACGGGCAAGGGAGGCGGAATAAAGCCAAAGAGTTTTTGCGGCGAATGGAAATAATGCGTACTTGGGGGCCATCGACGAGGCGCAAGGGCTCAAACCGCAGGCCACCGCTGGTCATCAGCGGGCCGGTGTTACAGGGGGAGGAACCTCAGGCACTGCAGATGCTCCAGTGTACGCCTATCAGCCAATTAGAGCAGAGCCCTAAACACAACCACCAAACTGATGGTGACATTTCCCCTGACTCTCTTAGCAAGGATTGTAAAGACCAGGTCACAGTGAGTGTGAGCCCCAGCAACGAGACTGTGGAGCTCCCTGTGAAGGAGCCTGTGTGCATAAAGCCCCGCACTGCCAGCAAGAGAAGCAGCATGTATCTGGAGGATATGGTGTTGCCTTCTCAGGGTAAAAGGACCGAAGGTCAGAGCCAGTTTGGCAGAAACCAGTTTCACTCATATGAAAACCTCCTCATTCACATCCCCAAAGACCATAAACCAGGCACCTTTCCAAAAGCCCTCTCCATAGAAAGCCTGGCGCCTTCCCCTGGTGACAGAAACAACGACCCTCACGTGCATGCCCGAACTTCTCCCCGTGACAATGGCCTGGGTGAACCCTGGTCTGGTAAACCTTTGTCTAAACCCTGTCCTGGAGCTCCACGGGGCAGCAGAGTGAGTGTTTATGACAATGTGCCAGGCTCCCATTTGTATGCCAGCACAGGAGACCTGTTGGACTTGGAGAAAGAGGACAATCTGTTCCCTCACCTGGATGACATTATCCAGCATGTCAGTGGTCTGCAGCAAATTGTGAACCACTGGAGCCGTAGCGTGCTGCCCGAAGGGGAGACGGGGGAGGGGGAGGAGGAAGGGGAGGGCCGGACCACTCCCAGCGAAGGTGAGAGAGACGGGGTCTCCTTAAATGACACAGATTCAACAGGGACCAGCCGGGAGAGGAGAGACTCTGGAGTTGGGGCCTCCCTCACAAGACCACGGTGAGCAGCCCTTCAGCTTTTTAAAGGATAATTATGGTTTTATTACTACTTGAGTTGTGTTTTTATAGTTTTGGCCCTAAATTGTATTGATTATATTAACAGTGTAATCACTACAATCATGGCTGAGATCTTGAAGCACACCAAAGTACTCATGATGTATATAAGCAACAGTTTATTTGGGGAAAAAACAAAAGAGCACAACCAAAGTGTTAATGAAGCAGTGCACAGTAAAAAGGGTGGTGATCCTGGGTTAAATTGTGTTTATATTTACAGCTCGTTGTTCACTTTCATTGGTGGTATAGATTCTAAATGATAAACCATAAAAAAAGGGTCAGTTACTGCTTGTATGTTTCATTTTCTCTTGCCTGCGTAAGAGTAAATAGCTAATAGATAGACATCAGGCTTAACTGCTGCCTAGCAACACCTCTGTCAAGTATCCAGTACTGGAAAATTGGTGCGATGCCCTTTGTTGTCCATATATGCCTCTCTGGACATGTACTATAAATGTTGGGAGTCCAAATATATTGCATGGTTCCTCTGAAGTTAAAATCGGGCTCCAGCAGCCTGTGCTTGATGAATCAAGTGGGTGCCTTTCAAAGCTGAAGTCTTCTCACTCCACATCAGCACTTTGTCCTCCACCTTTGAACAGTTCTTACTAAGTTCATTAAGAAAAGTAATATATGCTTCTCCTACTCTCTGCTGGAGAATCATAAGAGCCCCTGATGGTTGAATGGTTGATTTTTAATCAAGGACCTCCTCTTTAACATTGAACAGGTTGGGTAATGTTTCTACTGGCTGCCTTCAGCAAATCAAATCTGTCTAACCTGAAGTTTTGTTTTAAACCAGTACAATTATATTCTTCCCTAAACGCTATTTCCACAAAACTATAATAACAAGACTCAAAATAAACTAGACTCATATTTACAGTGACTGAATCACAGTGTCTGATTGTTTGCTGGTATTTTCTTCCCATCCCAGTCTACGATGGCCCAGTTTCAGAACTTCAGATCATCTCAACCAGCCGGCATCTTCTCTGCAGATCAGCAGCCAATCAGCGGGCCAGCTCAGCCTGCTGCAAAAGTTTTCCCTGCTCCGCCTCACCGCCATCATGGAGAAATACTCGATGTCCAACAAACACGGCTGGACGTGGTGGGCGTGCATTACAATCACTGCACAATTTCAAGTCTATGTTTGTCTTTCAGTCATTCATTTATTATAAAACTAGACATTCACAACCTGTCAAACATACACGCAAAGTATCTCAAACTGTTTTATACATTTCTTTATCAAACCTCTTTCTTCATCTCCCCGTCTTTTTTTCCTCAAATATAAAAAGTATAAACAATCTTTTTGGTTTTTCCTTATGTGGTCCAGGTTAGCAAGGTACAGTATGTTCTATACGCGTGACACTTTTTGCAGTGGTTATTTTTACTGCTTCCATTAACTCTGCAGAAGAGCTGAAACAGCAGGACCATATGGCCAACCATCAGCTTCATTTGGTTTCAAAACATGCATGCAGTTGGGCTCGTGCATGCCGCAGTGTTTGAACAAACTGGCTTTAGGTTGTCACCCCCACACACTTTCATCAGTTGATTATGCTCTCCAAACGCAAGCTTTGACTTGTTTACGGTGACCTTTGTTTACTCCTGTCAACCGGCATTTAAATAAAGAGAAGATAATGAAAGTATGTGCCACTTTTTCTGCCACACACTTAATTCTCTCTATTGCTTTCAGGTCTGTGCCAAAGTTTATGAAGCGCATGAAGGTGCCAGACTACAAAGAGAAGAGTGTGTTCGGGGTTCCCCTCATTGTCCATGTCCAGCGCTGTGGTTTTCCACTCCCCCTGTGTTTACAGCAAGCCCTCAGCCACCTCAGAACACATTGTCTGGACCAGGTTAGAATCAATAAAACTTTGTCCTTCTTAAAGCGCTACTGAAGGCGTGAATAAGCCGATAAACAGTTAATGCCCTGCCTGTCTCTTTCCTGTGACTGTCCCTTCCCTTCTGGTCTTCTTCTCTTAGGTTGGATTGTTCAGGAAGTCCGGCGTGAAGTCTCGTATTCAGGCGTTGAGGCAGCAGTGCGAGTTGTCTCCTGACTGCGTGAACTATGAAGACCAATCAGCTTACGATGTTGCCGACATGGTCAAACAGTTCTTCAGAGACCTGCCTGAACCTCTCCTCACAAGCAAGCTAGGAGAAACCTTCCTGCATATTTACCAGTGTAAGCCACCTCAGAGGCACACCTGCAGTCATTTGCATGTGACTGTAAATAGCTTTAATGGTTTAGTTGGCCTTAGTAAACAGGCAAACACAGTATATGTGATCTTCTAATCAAAAATTAAAATCACATTTTAATTTCTGAACCAGTAAAAAACAGCTTCAATCTTTAATCAACGATATGCCATAAAACAACGTTGTTAATTGTATCCAAAATCATAAATCATATTCAGTCAAATATTGAAAACAGTATTTGCTATATAATGAAGAATTTCTATTGTTTAAAACCTTAACCACATTTTTTATTTGACCCATCACTCCTCCTCACGTCCATATTTTTCTTCAGATGTCCCAAAGGAGCAGAGACTGCAGGCCGTCCGAGCGGCCATCTTGTTAATGCCAGACGAAAACAGGGAGGTTCTGCAGACGCTGCTCTACTTCCTGCGTGACGTTACATCAATGGTGGAGGAGAACCAGATGACACCCATGAACCTGGCTGTTTGTCTGGGGCCGTCGCTCTTCCACCTCAGCATACTGAAGAGCGAAGCCTTATCACCAAGGTGCGCATATGGGATGATGAACACGCTGATTCTTGCATAAAAAACATAGAAGCTGATGAAAGTGAAATTAATAACTCGTATTTGCCTTAAACATTTGATTACATTTAATTACACTGTTTTAATTGTTTTTAGTTCTCCATAAATTCCACAAATTTACTCCTTTTGCTAAAATCTGATGCCACACAACACTAGTCTTTACAAATATTTCCTTGCATATAAAAATATCTCTCAAATTTCTCTTTTTAACTTTTGGATATTGGTAACTGATTTTATGCTGCTGTTGTTAATTGAGCAAATCTAAATACTACTAAACATTTGACTATTACAGTCATTAGTTAACAAAAGAAGGATTTAGTTGGTTCTCAGTTTTGTTCACAGTTATGGATTATTCTGAGCAGTGTAAAAATGTCAGTGTAAACGAAGATTGTAATTATGTGTCAGTACATTTAGAAAATCAACAATCATGGTGAAAAAGAAGATACGTCCCATTTCAGTTATAAGGTTTCATGTTTGAGGATAAAATTCAATAGTACTTGGTCCTTACCAGGTGTTAAAATTAGATGTTTAAAACCTCAGGTGTGTCATTATTTATTTATTAAAATCGAAGAAAAAGTGCAGACACACTGTGAAAAGAGAAGTACACATTTATTTCTTCCTCCATAGAAAATAATGGGGTAAGTAGCAGCAAGGTTCTGCTAATCAAACGGTGTAACCACCCCTATAAAGACTGTTTGTCGTGCTACCACTCTGATTCTCCTTCCTTGTTGTAATGTTTGCTTTAATTTGCATGAAGATCATTTGTATGTTAGGGATCTGCACATAATTCTGTCCATTAATGACTCCGTATATATCACCTGTTGTACAGTTCTGTATATTCAATAATAATTTGTGTTCCTCAAGGTCAATTCAGAGGAAGTACACTACAGGCCAACCCGATCAGAAAGACCTCAGCGAGAACCTGGCTGCCACTCAGGGCCTGGCACACATGATCACCGAGTGCCAACGTCTGTTTCAGGTCAGGATCAAATACGCCACTATTTATTTCTGTTCACAAAGAAATAATACATGACTCTATCTTTATGTAAGACACTGACAAACAAACATGAAGCTGACTGATGTTTGCCCTGCTGCGTGGTTAGTAGCCAAGGCCACGTTATAATTGCATTTAATGAGCTCATTTCTAAAACTGTAGCTCATCATTACTTTGAGGCTGTCAGCGTGTACAGTATGCTGCTGCTTTCAGGGAGAAAGACAAACAGATTTGATTACTATGCATGCGGTTTGAAGGGTTTTCATACAGGACTGAATGATTAGCTCTTCTTAACCCACAGAGGACTGCAGAATTCCTCCAACACAGGGAAATGACCAGTGAGGTTATGTTTAGAAGATAATGGATATTAAAACGTTTTACCAAACTGACAGGAGCTGCTGTAATACACTATTAAACTTATAACTACAGTTCATTTTCCTCTGTAAAAGTTTTTGTATTTAGCTGAAGTGGTGCTGTGTGATCTGATTCACTTTCTCTGGCTGTTCCACAGATCCCAGAGGAAATGGTGACCCAGTCCCACAACTCCTACATGGAAGCTGAGCTGATGGTGCCCCCGCTGGACGAGCTTTGCAAAGCTCACGAGGAGGAAGTGGATGTGGACGAGGAAGAAGAAGATGAGGAAGGATCCTATCATGCACACCTAGAAAGGCTGATCCAGAACCTGCTGAAAGAGGCCAAAGATAAGAGCAAAGGCTGGGTGTCTCGCTCAACTACTGACCATACAGAACTGTCATTTAAAAAGGTATGTGTGGCTACTGAATCTCTAGAATAATGGATGGATATTGGGAGGGTTTGGAAGAAACTGGATGCAGAGCAAGGACCACAGTCATACAGGCATAGAAGCTGTCAGTAACGCCCAGTAACACTCGATTGCTGGGGAAAAGTGTATGTTGCACAACCAGTTGGCTAGTGGTTGTGACTGAGAGGATCCTGGCAATTGCAGCAGTGAAATTTCTGCAAACACTTGCAAACTACTTGCTCGATGATGATGCAAACTACAAATGTTGGAAAGCTGAATCTTTTGGAATGAGGCCATTTCCAGTTTAAGATGCACTTTTTCAAGTTTTACTACAACTTGAAGAGATGGTAAACTGTTTGCAGAGTCAGCATCTTCCATACAAATACTGATCACTGTAGTTTGCTAGTAACAAAAGGTTTTGTTCTTTTTGACCATCTCTATATTTGCATGTGATTTAAACCTAGCTACAGCCAGCAGCCACTTGCCAACTAATTAGAAAATGCATATTTTTCTTTAGCAACAGAACGTTGCTCAGGTTTTTTCTGACTAGTCTCTTGACCTCTGTGACTTGGGCTTGAAGTGGAAATCAGAAAAATATTGTTCTTATTCATGTCTGCGCAAGCAGATTATCAGAAACATATACTGATTACATCTACATCTAACCACTTAGTCTGGTCTAGGAAAATCAAATCTATAAAGTTTCTAGTATTGCCCTTGAGATACACCTTTACATAATATTTCACTCTTCCAATGTGTTTCTCTCTAAGGTAGGAGACGGTAACCCTCTGAGGAGGTGGAGAGTGTGTGTCGAGGTGTCGGCAGCTCCCGCTGAGGTGCTGCATCGGCTGCTGAGAGAACGCCCGCTGTGGGAGACTGAATTACAGCAGGAGAAGATTCTGGAGACGCTGGACAAACAGACGGACGTGTACCTGTACTCCTGCAGCAACATGCCACCTCAACCCACCTGTGAATATGTGGTACTAAGGTCAGGGAAACTAAATTTCGTTTGCATTTTCTTTTTGCAATCGGTGTTCTCCCTCACATAAAGACTGACGTGTTGAATGAAAAGATTAAGCAGAAAGAGCAACAGTATGTCTGTTTAAACAGGGCTTTACATACAGGAGAATTTTTAAAATACCACACTGGGTAAAAAGAAGAGCTGTGACAAGCGGCTGATTAGTTGTTGGAAAGAAAATTGATATGTTCTCCAACTCCTACAAATGTAATGGGGGCAGGTTCTTCATATGTGACAGTTTGCAGCTTTTATTCTTGGCAAGACGAGACATTTATTATTTAATAATATGAACATTTTGATTGCCTGTTTCAAAAATTTAATCGCCCGAGAATTTATATGAAATTGTTCCTGAAAATAAACCATTGATAGTTGAAGCCCTAATAAGAAAGACTACCTCAAATTGACTCCTTGCTTGTGTCCTTTAGATCATGGCGTACAGACCTCTGTAAAGGCTCCTCTGCGCTTGTTAGTGTGTCTGTCGATCATGAAGACAGCCCACCGATAGGATCAGTGAGGGGGGTTGTGCTGGAGTCACAGTACCTCTTAGAGCCCTGTGGGACGGGGAGGACCAGACTCACCCATATCTGCAGAGTGGACCTCAGGTGTGGATGCACCTCCAGGGTTTTTAAAGTCTTATGTTTCAACCTCGTCTGCAGTCGCTAATGAGTGTGTTTCTTGTTACAGGGGAAGATCTCCAGAATGGTACAACAAGGCATTTGGTCACCTATGTGTTAACGAAGCCCAGAGGATCCGCTCTTCTTTTCTCCCCGTTGACCAGACAAGCCCCGAGGCCAAGCTCTGAACCCCAGAAATTAAGCTTTGTCTTGGGTCACACTGCCAAAGCAGCTGAGCCTGAGAACCAGTGACCCAGGAGGATAATCACCCAGGCAGTGGACTTCAGCCTTTTCACGGTGCTGAGGCATAGGAAGCTTTACTGTACCACACACAGACACACACACTGAAGGAAAGAGTATTTGTGTCATTTTATCAGGTGTCTTAAACAACATATCACTACTTATTTTTATCATAAATCATTATTTTCCAAGCCTTTAAAAAACACAGATTCAGTGTTTGTTTCCAGTAAAGTAATTTAGTGATTTGACACCAGGTCTCATGTATCCATGTAGATTATTGGAACTACATTATTATATTATTGTATTTCTCTGATTTAATCTTCCAAATCTTCCAGTGACGTGGTAAGGAAGCCAGCACCAGCAGGTATGATCATGACGATGCTGCTGCAGTGGTTGGGTTAGTGTTTAACCTTCACCTGATCACTTTCATGGTTACTGTAACAGAGTACCTAACAGAAATGTACACCGAAGTTAAATATAAGTTATATTAGAACATATAATATAAATTATATGAATATAAATACAACAGATATTAATTATCTTAACTAATTTTACATGACCTGCCTGACAAATATACATGACAAATTTGATCAAAGCATTTCACAATGTTTTCTATTAATAGAAAATAGATAATATTACTTCTATTCTGATTCCATTGTAGAGTATTTATATAAAAAAAAACAATCACACAGCATTGATAGTATGTGATGATCTTCAAATCTAAACTAATAATACACTCGTGCAAACCTCCATGACATGCAGGTTTGCTCCTTTATTAATTAATACACATGTAGTTATTAAATGAAAAACTACACATACTGTAAAAATGCAAAGAAAACATCTGTGCTCTAAAAATACCAAGACCAGCACATAGTTTCGTGTCAGCACTGTGTTGTGAAAGCTGCACTAGTTTCAGGTGAAATGACTTTCACAAGGATCTGAATCACATAAAGGGAAAACACTCATCGGGTCCGTGAACGTGCTCAGCATACATTTTGTGGAGATTACTGTTTATTTTGTTCTCTATTGTCACTATTTACAGTGTTATCTAAATGAAATGCCATTTTAAAGTTATTGTTGTCATTACCTTTCTGTATATTGTGTCACTGTTGCTTGTTTTGGGGTTTTTTTTGCTCTCATATTATACAATGTCTAAGACATGTGACCATTGCTCTGCTTCTGGGAAGCATGTTTGAAATGTTTGCGAGTGTGCACGGTGATGCCTGTGTATCTGCATTCTGAATATATGTACAGGCTGTACTGTAAATATCTGCAATGCTTTCTGTGCCAGCAGATCAAACACCATAGTTTTTCAGGGTCTTCCTATCATATTGATATATGCTGAAATGTGAACCTTCCATATATTATCCTACTAAAGCAATAGCAGACTAAAGCTTTGTGGCTCTTATTGTTTCAGCTGTAGGCGGCGCTGCTACGGTGTTACTATGATAGGCTATAATATTTTTACAGTGCTGGCATAATCCCGCGCGGATGCCTTTCGCTGGGGAACAGTGTGACGCGTGTGTGTCTAGATGTGTGTATGTGAGCGATAATAAGACAGACAATGAGTGAGAGTCTTTGACGTGAACCCTCAGCCGTGTGTGATGAGGCTTCAAACCTAGCTGGGTAGGCCTGGTTGATTTATGCTTGACTATTTCTGATAAAGTGACAGAAAACAGAACCGTGGTTACTGAACGTGAGAATAAAAATATCAAATGTCAACAAAAATGAAATGTCATCTTCAGTTTTTCTGTCTCTGATTTGTGTAAATTATTCAGTAAATTCAAGAATATCAGGTGTTATATATCCTCATGTCCACTGAGGGGTGCTGTTGCCCCTGAGGAGTCTGAATGAATCTGGAAAGTATGCCATGGAAAGTATTTTTAGATAACTGAGTTAATGAAGAGTCATCACAGCATCAGGGGGGGCATCCCTGAGGACTTTTTCACTCTTCTCTCCTTGAGTCCTTTCAACTAATGGATGGGAACTAAAACTCCGATGCTCAGATCAATACTCCATCACATTTACCTACTTAGCCATGTTAGACGGGGACTCTCGCAGAGGGCAGCGAAGGTGTTTGAACACAGACTGCTGCTCCCCTCAGCTCCCCTGTCTGTTATTCTTGTGACAACACAGAAACACTACTTTAACTTCTACCTCATTTAACATGTCAGTGGTTTTATCAGGAAAGTAGGGCATGCAGTAACATCCCCTGCATGTCAATGATCCTCTGCGCTGTGGGTGTGCTTCAGCTACACTACTCCATGGGCGCTGACAGATGAGAAACACCATGTTGCAAATTACACTATGAAAAAAAAATGTTACTGAATCAATAGTTTTCCCATGAATCCTTTTTCTTTTGTTTTTTTCTTGGAGCCGCAGAGGTCTAAGCAATAAATGAAGCCATGGTCTGTGTAACAGAAAACTGATGTGACATGATGGCCTTCAATATGTGCAGAAAAATACAGAGGGATTTAAAACAGCATCAATATTTTTCTCACACAGGGTGACCCTGCAAAATGATTAGAGAGGGGGGGGACCTCTTCTGGAGGGAACAGGAAGTCCAGCTGCTGCACCATCACTCTAAATAATCTGGTATGTAGGGCACCGTTTTGTCATGTTTAAATTTACTTTGTGTTCATTTGCAGAGGTTTTAAACATGAGGAGATCGCGAGGCCGAAGAAGACGAGCAGGAGTACAAGCAGTGTGAGCTGGAGGCTTATTTTATCATGTCAAATTACTTTTTAATGCAATTGCCCATGTCATCTTTCCACATTCTGCATTTCTACTTTGTTAGTCATGTGTGTCTGTATGAGACAGTAACAATCAGTCTAAATCAATAAAGGCTCGTGCTTAAAAAGTCTTTGTTAAAATTCAGTTCATTATTTATTGACTTGATATAGTTTAGTTATCTAACATGTTCCAGTATGCACAGTATTCAGTTTAACAGCATTTGTTTTGTGATGTCTAAATGCATTCAAGTCCTTATGTGCTTTATTGTACTTTCTTCTCAGAATCCTTCTGAGGACTTTTTGAAAACTTGACGATATATAATAGAGTTCCAGAGTTGTTGACAGACGTATTTGTGATAGATACACTTCAAAACCAACTGGGGCTTTTCTTCTTTGCTTTTACTCACTTTGTGTTCTGGCCTCTGTCACAAATACAAGAGTTACTGCAGTTGGCCAGTTGTAATGCATTTTTTCTTATATAACTGTCATATTATATATGAAGTTACATATTAAGTCAGGTGACAAAAATGAATCAGTTATAGATGAGACTGAGGTAATGAGAAGACTGGAGAAGGCCTGGATGTACCATAATTTTCAAAAGATGAGATAAAATCGAGGTCACTATATTTGGGCCTAAAAATCTTAGAAACCAGATATGTTCTCTGGATGGCAATTACTTGGTCTCCAGCAGCACTGTGAGGAATCTTGGAGCCATTTTTGACCAGGATATGATACAATATAAGCATATTTAACTCATTCACTGCCATTGACGTCTATAGCCGTCAATTGCAGTGAATGAGTCAATGGGTTTAACTCATTCACTGCCAATGGCTGGCAGTGAATGAGTTAATACATATCCAGGACTGCTTTCTTACAATATCTATAAAGAAGCATCCTGTCTCAGACAGATGCTGAAAAACTAATTGTTTATGCATTTGTTATTTCTAGGTTGGGTTATTTTAACTCATTATTATCATGTTCTTCTAAAAGTTCCCAGAAAAGCTGTCAGTTGATACAAAATGCTGCAGAGAGAGTACTGACAGGAGATTATTCCATATTAGGGGCTCCCTGTTATATCCATAATCAAATTTAACCTCCTAAGACCTGAACTCTTCCACGGCATGCATTTTTAATTTCAAATAAAGGATTACAAGATTTTTTTTTTACCTAACTTTTGTTTCTAAGAATGATGAGAGCCACATATGAGGATATTCATTTAAAATTTTGATAAAACAGTAGCAGTATAATGTCCTCGTAAGTGGATATCAGGCCCTTGTAGAGCAAAATTGAGTATTTTGGTCTAAATAACCCAAAATGTGATGTCCACATATGTGGACCTCAGGTCCTAGGAGGTTAAACCTCTTCCCCTGACATACAAGGTCTTGAATAATCAGGCCCCATTTTATTTTAAAGACCTCATAGTACCACATCACCTCAGTTTACTTCCCACCTTCCTGACCCTGGTTCTGCTTGAGGTTTCATCCTGTTGTAAGGGTGCTGGCTCATATGGAGCCATCTGATTGTTGGGATGTTCTCCAGAATCCGGGAGGATCTATACCTTCCATTATAAGGGGCCTTGAGCCTTGAGGCAACTGTTATTGTGATTTGGTGCTATATAAATAAACCTGAATTGAATTGAATCAAATCTCTGAAATGGTGTCATAAAATATTTTTCACACTGAAGAACTCAGTTTGCAGGGATGAACTTTTAGAACTTTGTTGCTGCTTATCTGCACCATGTTCACATTATGAAAAATGCAAGACAGACAGACAATGAAAACATATGCATGTCCTCTGAGACCGGCTAATCTAATGTCTCTTTCCAGACATCCACGATAAGGTCATTAATGAATAAATTATCCAACAAATGAATCATTAATGAGACCATGTTGGCAGTTCTGTGTAGTATCCTCAATTACATGTTCAAATTGTTCCATACAACTAAAGCTTCATTTAAACAAGTGAATGAAATAAAGTGTGCTGTAAGTAATACATACAAGGGAGGCATTGTGCCATAAGAGAGAGTGTTTTTTCTGCATTTCCAAATTAACTGTTCGTGTTGCTTACCTATACATCTAATGTACAAATGAAGTATCAGTGTTTTTGTGACTTACACAGAAAAGCAAAGCAGAGTAGATAACATATACATTTTAGCCAATGCTATGCAGCACACTTTTATCCAAGTTGCCTGAGTGAAATCTGAGTGAATGACCAAGCCGGCCACATTCAGAATGATCTGGCTGAATTGTAATGGCACCTGATCGAGCTCCATTTCATTGGAGTAATGGCTGACATTTCGAGTGGTTATAGGAGTGAAAGTGCAACTAATAGCTCAAATGATGGCTTCCCTCCATTTACGCATGCCAGAGAACCATACGAGTCATCCAAGCAAGCGCAATTTCAGGAATCAGGTACAGGAACAGCTAATAGAAATCCAGTCATTAATAACATCTGTTTCTGGCAACTTAGTATGTTATTAAAATAAGTCTAATGGGTGTTACACTGTAAAAGTCAAACCCTCTCCAAGATTTAGTCCCACTGTGCATCTGTCTCAGGGGCAGCCATTACTTGTGAATAAAGTAAAGGTCGTTTGAGGGATTATGGTTTATGTGAAAGTGTCCAGAATCCTCAGTGAATATTCTCATACACACAAAAGCAAAAAGGGCAAGGCAAAGCAAGTTTGACTTTCTTCTGCATCTGCACATAAATTTATGCACAGCCAAAAGCAAAGTTTTGGCTTGACTGCTCTGTTATATGACCCTCCACAGATGATTAACTCTGTTTACATTCAAAAGCAGCATCTATATATACACTATTATAAATGATAAACACTTACAGTTAAACTTAAAAACACTGACATTTACAACGAACATCTTTGAATTTAGAAAATGAGTCACATCTTCTGCAGAATGTAGTTAAATGTGTGTTACTGCATGGCAGGAGTCTGTGGGAAACGTTATCAGAGCAGTGCCAAGTGCACAGCACAGTCAGGTTTTGCTACACTTGCAGCTGCAATCCAGGCCTAGTTTTTGCTATATGCAGAGGCGTGCCTGCATGTCTTTAAAGTGTTTTTATATTGCATTGGTAATTGTAGGCTGGACCTTCACTAAGCTGCCAGTAAAAGGTTGTTGGTGCAGCACAACCTGTGAACACAACTAACTCTCACACTTAACACTGATCAATAAGAATTTTGTCTCCGTTTACACAAAATAATCGAAACTCTGATTTTCGTCTCGATGCATTCTCAATCATCCAGGTAAGTAAATCTCCAAAAGTTGATTCTGTTCATCTTGACGTAGCGTTTCTCCCACTGAAAACCCTACGTCCATATGAACAGAATCAACTTTTGGAAACTCTGATTTTCACTTCTGGAGTACATCCGGCTTTCTTAAATATTTCCATCTGCCTAATTTCCAGTACAGTCACTAAGAAAAGTGAACCCACTGTTCAACAAGTTAAGCTCTTAAGTACAATTCCCAATATCCCACTGCCTCTAAAGCTCACACCAGCGTGGAGTAAAAACTCAATATTCTTTTAGGTTAAGAGTTAATTATCCCACAGTAAATCCTGGTGTTCTGCTTCACCATTAATTCAGCCTGATTTTTATGGAAATCTTGAGATCTGGAGATTTTTTTTTTTTTTTAAAGTTCTGAGGATGTGAGCCATGCAGAGCCTTCATTTTCATGTCCCTCTTCTGTGGAGCCAGCTCCCTGCTTGGATTTACTTTTAAGATTAGACTCAAAACTTTCCTTTCTGACAAAGCTTATAGTTAAGGCTGGATGTGATGACTCCGAACCCTTGGTTACAATGCTGTAGGATCAAACTGCTGGGAAGGCTTCCAATGATGCACTGACTCTTTCTTCTTCACTCATCTTATTCCACTCCTCGCGTGTTTCCACCAATGACTGTATTTACTAATTTGCAACTATAAAACTATGGCTCTCTCTCTCCCATAGTTTGCCTTTCGTCCCATCTCACTTTGCTCTCTTCATTTCC